GGAAGCCATCCCACTGATGCCACCAATATAACGGAGATCCCTGTACCCCGACTGGGTACCTCTGCCAAAGGACCGCACTTCTGCCCACTGTCAAGCAACGGCGACAGGGAAGGTACAGGGAGCTCAGTTACAGAAATGTTAGGACCAGGATTGGCTGAGAAATCTGAGCATTTCCTGGTTCCTTATAGATGTCACTGCAAATGCAGTATATCCCAAGGACATACAATATTTGTATGCATTTTTTGTAGTTCATGAAAAGTCTAAAATACCACCTGAAGTGTTCTTTTAACTCTTATGTAAATGCTATAAATGTATATATATATATATATATATATACAAAATGTAGAACAGCTTGGCACTCTCCTTGCAAAAAAGAAAAAAAGAGAAAAAGCAAAACTGCCTAGGTGCTACCCGCGTTAGAAATATATAAACATAGAGACATCGACGTTTCAACCCCTAAGGGTCTTTTTCAAGATTTTTTTCACAGATGTAATGATGATTTTTTTCATTCAAATAAACCAGTTGCCACTTTTTCTAAGACCTGTGAGTGCACCCCTGTCTCTATGTTTATATATATATATATATATGTAAAGTCTTCCATGGAGTTGTGGGAGGGGCGTGTGGATCCTATTTAAACTCACCCCCCTTTGCCTGCATCACCGTGGATTCTAACGTCCGGCAGGCATCACTTCCGGTTGCGGACTTCCGGGTTATGATCCTGTCACTTCCGGTTCGTGGTCCGTGTGCAAATCAAGCTGCTGCTTCTCCCACACGCTTGGGGGCACTACAATCGTAAATCTTTGCAATATTCTGGTCCCCTCACCCTCTGCCACATGCTGAATGGTCCATAGGGGTGGGGGGCCAGCAGTAAGACGGACGCAGCAGCCAGAGACCACACAGGTCTCCTCACTGCTGACAGGTTTCATTTTTCTTTTCCCACATGAGAGAAGCTCAGCTTACTTAGTACATTACTAAAACAAAGCTTACATGCTGCTGTGAAAGTTATTAATTAAACTGTAAATACACACTGCTGTACTGAATACTGGGCTGCATAAATACTGTATAACATACCGCAGTATAACTACTGGGCTGCATAATATATACTTTTATTACATACTACTTGCTGCATACGACTGTATACTTGTCACATCCTACTAAGCTGCATACTAATTTACACTTTTATTACATACTACTTGCTGAATACTACTGTATACTTATCACATACTACTGGGTAGCATACTACTGTATACTTTTATCACAGACTACTTGTTGTATACTACTGTGTATATTTTATTACAAACTACGTGTGGCAACTACGGTAGTACATACTACTGGGCTGCTCTACGGTATTACATACTACTGGGCTTCCCACTACGGTTTCATAGGGTGTTACATACCATGGTATTACATACTACGGCATTCCATGATACTATATGACATGTTGCATACTACAGTGTTATGTGCTGCTGTGTGGTATGGGTGTTGTTTGGCGTGCTACTGTATTTCATGTCACTGTACTTATGAGTGGCATACTGAGGCATGCCGGGCTGCAGTATGGCATGCTGCTGTAATACATGATCAAGTAGGCACATGGCTATAGAGCATATTCTGGGATACGTACTATGATGATACATGCTGATAAAAGGCGTGCGGCCGCTTACATGTTATAGTGGTACGTGCTGCAGTGTCTGGAATTACACTATGTTCACATGCATTACGTTCAGTTCATCCCCATATTTCAGTACCAAATTACAATGCTAAATGGTTAACTAATTTGCTGATTACTCACATAGGTACTGGACACATTACCCCCATAACACATATTTTACAAGGGAGGCAGGCCCAGCAAATACATATTGCGTCATGAAGCATGGTACACTATAAGCACTTATGACAATTCACATGCATGCATCTACTGTTTCACCGTTTGTCTGTAAACATATATGTATGGTTCATCTGCATTAGATATGGATCAGCTTTAGGTTAAAAGGTTACGTGTTTACTAAATCTCTTGCTGGCTCCAAATTTTGGCCCGTTCTATGGTGCCATTTCCACAGTATTGTTTAAAGGCTAGCATGTCAGAGATCACATTACTTATTTCTCAATGCTTACTTTTCAGGTTCAAGTTGACTCATATCAACTACGTTCATTGCTATCAAATCTTTATTTCACATTGTCCAGTAAGTAAGGTGTTAAGTAAGGGGTACTCTCAGCGTTAAAGGGAAGTACGTTTATTACTATGTATAACATATACTCCTCTCTACTATCACTGGGTATAAACCTCGCTTCCATTAGATTAGTGGTGGAAGTCTCAGGTTCTCTGTTGGGTTGTGACCAATTTTCTGACCTAACAACAACAAGTGGGTCTCAGGTACGTTTGCCTAAACTCAAATAGTCCCATCTCACCAAATTACATAATCACTATATCTTGTCACTACCAGTTACGAAAACAAGCCAGCTGGGCAAGATAGTACTAATTACATATTATCCTACTGCAAACAAATGGTGCCCGGTGAAAGTACTGGATACATACCTCCAATCATTACCACCGCAGTCTGACATTCCGCTGCTAGTCTTATACAAAGATGTCTTAACAACAGCTAAATTCATGCAATACGTCTGCATGTTACTGACCAGACTAGGTCTGAACGCTAGCAACTTTTCTGGCCTTTCCTTTCGGATAGGGGCAGCCTCCAGTCAAAATATTCCAGTACATGTAATCAAGTCTTTGGGCCACTTGAAGTCCTCAGCGTTTGCTTTGTATATACCTCAACCTGTGTTAGAAATTAGGGCGGCTTTTGTTAAACTGTCATCTTGAGGTTTTTTCTTTACACTATGTAATCTATGTAATAAATATTTTCTTTGGCAAGACACTGCTTATTTTTAACAGAAAAAAAGAAGGATAGTGCGTAGGCGCTTCACTGTAATTTTGACAATTCTGTATATAGTATAAAGTATACAATAGATGGTGTAACCGGTACCCTAGTGCTTCCCTTATACACCAGATTTACATAATACAATAAAAAGAGACAAATACCAGTATATACACCTCCCCAATGTGATCACAACAAAAATAAGTGATATTACCAATATAGAACTGGACTGTAATATAAACAGCGTAGAACTTGATTGGGGTGTAAACTAAAATAGAAAAAACATAAAAAACATAGTGCAAACTGTATGATAATAAATAAGTAATAAATAGGTATGTGACTCTCACTCACATTCTCCAGAGCCGTGCCAGGCTCTGTATAGCAGGCTCAGGGGTGCCAATAACTGGCTCACGATCCAGGTGGTCCAATATATGTGAGACTCCAAAGGTTGAATACAAAATATATTTATTTATAAAAATATATAAAAAAGTGTATACACTGCTGGGCACTATGGGGGTGTAACCCAAAACAGACAAGGATATATATAAAACAATAATGGAATTCCACTTACCCCTATCTGTATAGTAGCCCAGAGTGACAGAAATACACATAAAATAACAAATACAAATGCAGAAGATTGAAGCAGACGCGTTTCGGCCAACTGTTGGCCGAAACGCGTCTGCTTCAATCTTCTGCATTTGTATTTGTTATTTTATGTGTATTTCTGTCACTCTGGGCTACTATACAGATAGGGGTAAGTGGAATTCCATTATTGTTTTATATATATCCTTGTCTGTTTTGGGTTACACCCCCATAGTGCCCAGCAGTGTATACACTTTTTTATATATTTTTATAAATAAATATATTTTGTATTCAACCTTTGGAGTCTCACATATATTGGACCACCTGGATCGTGAGCCAGTTATTGGCACCCCTGAGCCTGCTATACAGAGCCTGGCACGGCTCTGGAGAATGTGAGTGAGAGTCACATACCTATTTATTACTTATTTATTATCATACAGTTTGCACTATGTTTTTTATGTTTTTTCTATTTTAGTTTATACCCCAATCAAGTTCTACGCTGTTTACATTACAGTCCAGTTCTATATTGGTAATATCACTTATTTTTGTTGTGATCACATTGGGGAGGTGTATATACTGGTATTTGTCTCTTTTTACTGCTTATTTTTGCCCTCCTTATTACAGGCCTACCGCGTACATTGGTTTCAGCACACTTTAACCGACTTGTTCATACCTATGGTTACACCATACTATACATACGTTACGCTACAAGAATAGCACCGAACACAAATAAATATATATATATATATATATATATATATATAGAAAATTGGGCAGACTAGATGGGCCGAATGGTTCTTATCTGCCGTCACATTCTATGTTTCTATGTTTCTATATATATATATTATTTTTTTTAAACTTATTGATAAGATTAAAAAATTAGGTAAAATTTGGTTTTGAAAAAAAAAAATACATGTACAGTTCGGAATAATACACATTTGTTCATACTTTCCTTAAATAGAAATATTTTTAAGAAAACATCTATTGAAATCCATGAGACATTCCTTTTTTATAAAGCAATCAGGCCTGTTGTGAATTATTCAGAAGGTGATTTTTCTAAAATGACACTGCAAATCTATAATGGTAAAAACCTCAACCTTACAGTGATCTTTCACCTTGTTCGGGGATAGAATATTTTAAATGTGTCATATTGCAATGTGAAAATCGGAAATAAGTGCAAATTGGTAGGCAAGTCAAAGTAAAAATATTGTTCCCACATGTATATTCTGAAATTAATAACATAATTACATAATTTGAAACAGTTACAAAAAATACCAGCGCAATCAATTGTATGACTCACTGCAATTATAGCTGTATTATAACAAAAAAATTGAATTATTTATCCGCCAAATTCTATTTTGGATTTAGGGTACATTCTATTCTGGATTTCAGTATACAGCTCTAGAGGCATAGCAGAACGAAAATGACTGCAGGATTTGTATCCGTTGTCTGTTCGTTTGCTGTCATAGTGTAAGTTTTATTATTATTATTTTATTATTTATATAGCGACAGCAAATTCCGTAGCGCAGTAAATACTCTGTTCAGTGTTGAAGAATGATTATTCGCCTTAGGGTGCCTCCCCCAATATCATGGGGGCTGATCCAAATCGGGGGAGGCACCTTAAGGCGAATAATCATTCTTCATCCTGTGAGTGCTTCTTTATTTGCTCTATAATTTTGTGTTACACAGTGTTACACTATTTTATTCCTTTTTTTTCTTATTTTGTTTGTAGATTTACAGCTAAGGTCAGGGAGATAAGGGCACCACCAGAGAGACTTTATAACATACAGTAATCAGAATAAAAGGTAGTCCAAATAAAAGAGTCTTAACTGGAATGATCTTATTAAGATCAGATAGTCTATAAGGTGCTTGGTCAGGAACAATGTCCTCGCTGTCCTTGCCCGGGCAGATCCACTCATATGAAAAGATAAAACAAATAGAGAACCAAATAGTGTAATATGTCCAGTCTAATATAGCAGATAATAAAAAGATGGTAATAAACTCACATATATTAGAGCTATAGCTAGCTCTAGTATGAAGAGCGTACAGCGGTACAATCCCCGCTTATGGGGTATGGGATAGACTTCCTCCATCAGGGGTATGTTCAACACTCAAAAGAGAAGAGTAGAAGGAGACAACCAATAGTGCTCACATGATAAAACAAAGGTATATAAAATATATATAAAATGGTACTCACGAGAGAGGAGCAGACCAACTGCTCCTTGATGATAGCGTTGGTGGTATGATCCCCACCTAGGATTACTTGGAGTCCAGAATGATAAAATGCCAGGTTAAAAGTAAAAACAGTATAAAGTGTATACAAAGTAATAGTGAGAGACAATAAGTGTAACACATAGAGTTCTACAAAGCCCAGGCAGCAACAAAATTTAGAAATTTCAATTTTAAGTCCTTTTACTGTATTCACAGTTCATTAAGTAATAAATTAAGAATTTTCATTGCACGTTGGAACAAACTAAAATAAATCGGTTTAACACATGGATAGATATAAAACTAGACAAGGCAATAAAACACACACAAAGCGGGATGGTAGCAAAGGTTGGTCGTTCTCCAACTTGTGATGTGCAGTAATCTGTCTCCTATGGCACCTAAGTGGTTGCAAAGGTCAGGTGGCTCGAATACTGCTTGGAGGGTAATGCATTTAACAAGACCATTTGCTAATCTCATTAATTTCCGCAAAAGCAGACTCTGCATAGAATAAAACGTGTAGATCTAATACTCATTAAGAATAGTCTTTGCTCTTCAGGGAAACATTTGCATTGACCCTATATTTTCTATTTGCTTAACACGTGCTCTGGACAGCTTTGATATTATCTGCTTCTATAAACATTAAGCTACAGTCCTCTCTTAGGATACGGCATTCCCAAATCAACAGAGAATCAAACATATTAATCATGTTTAAGGCTAAACATGAATGATTATAAATTGTGCAAATGGATTTTAGTTCTTAAATCCCAGCAGGCATTTGTCTCAGCTATATATTTTTTATTATTCAGGATACATGTACATAAGTGGAGTAATGTCTGCATTTTTGTAGTTTTTTTTTCTCCACATTTTTGCTTTCCTTTGTCTTAGATGTCTTAGTTATCTATCAGACATTTGTTACAGTGTATAAAACGTAGAGTTCTTTTCATAGATGCACAGTTCACAAGTATTAAAACAAAAAGGTGCAAGAAAATTCTAGCACTAAAAAATGCCTCTATGTATATGTTTATCTTCAGTGAAGCAGAGCCAAAAACCTACAGATATAATAAAGTACTTTTTTTTGTTTCTTATACTTTTGTTATAGTTTAATTAACACGTTGCTTGCTAATTAATCATGTCACACAAAAGGGTGAGGGGATAGAAACATAGAAACATAGAATGTGATGGCAGATAAGAACCATTCAGCCCATCTAGTCTGCCCAGTTTTCTAAATACTTTCATTAGTCCCTAGTAGAGATGTCGCGAACCGTCCGCGAACTTCTCGCAAACGGTTCGCCACGGTTCGCCACGAACCGCGGTGAACCGTTCGCGAGAAGTTCGCGGACGGTTCGCGACATCTCTAGTCCCTAGCCTTATCTTATAGTTAGGATAGCCTTATGCCTATCCCACGCATGCTTAAACTCCTTTACTGTGTTAACCTCTACCACTTCAGCTGGGATGGCTGCTTGACAGTATAATAAGCTGAAGTGGAAATGGTGCCTTGAATATCACTTGAATGAATTTTCCAACAAATGAAATATCTGACAACCCGACAAAATCAATTAAATATAACCAAATATTTTCCTTGGCAATTCGAAGTTCCCTTCTTTATGATATTTCCTTATATCTGTAATAAGCATGCTGTAATCCAGAAAGCTTTGGACAATATTGATATTGGTGGTTGCCGAACTAAACATTTTTCCAGACATAGTAAAATCCTTTCTGTCTTATACTTTCATTCCTCTTGGTTTTCCCAAATAGGATGCTTTATCCTCTTTACCAAGACACCATTACCCTAAAATGTATAACTTATTTCTATAAAAAGACAAGATGTGTCTTAGTTTCTCCTCTTCCCTCAAAACAATGCTCTTGGTTTATACTTAAAGATGGCTGCCCGCATGGATCAATGGTAAAACAGGTGATGCACAGAGCAAATTAATATGTACAGAGATGTTATTTGTCATCATTCATGTGTAATAACAATAAATCATATTTTTTTGTTATGATCGCTGTTCTTACATAAAATTTATAACTATGCAAATTAACACAATCATTATTCTTTTATACATTTGTTCATTACTTATGGAAATATTGGTCACATAGAATTTTTTTTTGGACGGTTTACAGTATTCGTTGCTTTGCAATTTTTCACATATAGGTTAGAATGTTAGTGCAAAAGTACAATATTAGTAAAAAATATACAATTGTTCTCACATGCAGTCGGTTTGGCAAAAACTAGATAAATTAAAAAATGTCTAATACTCTGTCTCAGTGTTTCCAAGGACCATAATGGCAATATTAACAGTACAGTTAAGTAAAAATGCCGACAGAATGTAAAATGATGTCTGCATTTGAGTATAACGCCCACATATAGTAATTACAGTTCACTTTTATAATTTTTATTTCTAAGATAAAGGTATTTAAAAAGATGTATGGCAATATCTGTGAGGCTTAGTTATAAGAGATATATATGGGAGATCACATTTACTCCCTGGTTCTTTGACGTTTTTTACTCTTTGGGAAGGGGGTGAGACTATAATTTTCTGGACATTTGCATGCATTAAATGGGTGGAATGAGTTTCTGACATAGACAGTGACAGAAGTACCGCAGACGCAGGGGTCACAGCTGCGACTGGGCCCGCCACTCTAGGGGTCGCGGCCACCCTGTGGGCCCCTGCAACCGGGTGCCCACCACCATGTTCAGGGGCCACCTTCAGGGGCCCATCGGGGGGGACCCTGCTGTTAGAGCCACCTGATGGCAAAGTATTACAAGATGGCCCAGACAGCGCTGCGGCGCTTTAACAGCATGACCGGGTGGCCTGTGATGACATTAGAGTTGGGAGGAAGTAACTGCCCCGGTCACCCCTCCTAACTTACACACAGCGCCGCGCGGGGGCAAGGAGAGGAGGGAGTCAGAGTGGGAACTCTGACTCTCATCAGCCTGAACCATCACTGGACCCCAGGGAAGTCACCCTCCTGCGTCTAAAAGGTTGGAAACAGGAGGGTGACTAATGTATGTGTGTGTATCTCTATGTGTGTGTGTGTCTGTCTGTATGTATGTGTGTGTGTCTGTATGTGTATGTGTGTGTCTCTGTGTGTGTGTCCGTATGTTTGTGTGTCTCTCTGTGTGTGTGTCTGTATGTATGTGTGTCTCTGTATGTCTGTGTGTATGTCTCTGTATGTGTGTATGTGTCTCTGTATATGCGTGTGTGTCTCTGTATGTATGTACGTCTCTGTATGTATGTATGTATGTATGTGTGTGTCTCTGTATGTATGTGTGTATGTCTCTGTATGTGTGTGTCTCTGTATTTATGTGTGTATGTCTCTGTATGTATATGTGTCTCTGTATGTATGTGTGTGTCACTGTATCTATGTGTGTATGTCTCTGTATGTGTGTATGTCTCTGCATTTATGTGTGTATGTCTCTGTATGTATGTGTGTCTCTGTATGTATGTATGTCCAGCGGTGTATTTACCGCGAGGCTGACAAGGATTTGTATGTCTCTGTATGTATGTGTGTATGTCTCTGTATGTATGTATGTCTCTGTATGTATGTGTGTGTATGTCTCTGTATGTATGTGTGTCTCTGTATGTGTATGTCTCTGTATGTGTGTGTCTCTGTATATGTTTGTGTGTCTCTGTATGTATGTATGTCTTTTTATGTATGTATGTGTGTATGTCTATGTATGTGTGTATGTCTCTGTGTGTATGTGTGTCTCTGTATGTATGTGTGTATGTCTCTGTATGTGTGTGTGTGTGTGTCTCTGTATATGTGTGTGTCTCTGTATGTATGTATGTCTCTTTATGTGTGTGTGTGTGTGTCTCTGTATTTATGTGTGTATGTCTCTGTATGTATGTGTGTCTCTGTATGTATGTCCAGCGGTGTATTTACCACGAGGCTGACAAGGATTTGTATGTCTCTGTATGTATATGTGTATGTCTCTGTATGTATGTATGTGTGTATGTCTCTGTATGTATGTCTCTGTATGTATGTATGTATGTATGTCTCTGTATGTATATGTGTATTTCTCTGTATGTATATGTGTATATCTCTGTATATGTGTATGTCTCTTTATGTGTGTGTGTCTCTGTATTTATGTGTGTATGTCTCTGTATGTATGTGTGCCTCTGTATGTATGTGTGTATGTCTCTGTATGTATGTGTGTCTCTGTATGTATGTGTTTATGCCCAGCGATGTATTTACCGCGAGGCTGACAAGACATTTGCCTTGGGAGGCACTTTCAGGGGGCCCTGGCAACTGCCATGTCAGCCTCTTGTCCTGGGGGACCCAGGAGCTGGCTGGCTGGCCACCACAGGGCCCCCCAGGGGCTGGCATGCGCTGATGTGGGAGGCGGGCCGCGAGGGAGCACTCTCCTCTGAGCTCTTCCCTGCTCAGCTCCTTCACGGGCACCGCAGTAATGCCGGAGCTGGAATATGATGTC